TATCGGGTTCGGATTTTTATTTTGGGACTTGGAATAGGTCCATTTTGATATTTCGAACTTATCTACAAAATTTGGTGTCATTCGAAGTTGGTTTGATATGATTCGGACGCTTAGTTGTGATTCTAGAGGTTCTTGAGTTTTCCTTTTGAATTTCATGTGTTTTGATGTCCGATTCTTGGTTCTAGATGTTATTTTGGTATTTTAATCGCGCGAGCGAGTTCGTATGATATTTTTAGACTTGTGTGGATGTTTGGTTTGGAGTCTCAAGGTTTCGGGTGAGTTTCAGACGTATTTCAGATTGGATTGAACTCATTTTAGGTTGTTGGTGTGCTGGTGCTCCAATTATCGCAATTGCAAGCACCAGCATTGCCACTGCAAAGTTGACAGTAGGGGGGCAGGTATCGCATTTGTGATGCCTTACTCGCAATTGCTAATTTAGGCATGGGTAGGGTAGGTTCGCATTTGCGACCAATTGGTCGTATTTGCAAGAAGGACAAACTTCGCAATCCGAAGTCAGTGTCGCAATTGTGGTATTCCTCTAGGTTGTTAGGCACCGCATTTGCAAGTCCTTTTTCGTATTTGCGAGGGGCCGCAATTGCGACAGCTGCATCTAAAGGGTTGGGATGATTGGATTAAGTCTCATTTTTATATTTTTGAACCCTAAACTCTGTAGGAGGCAATTTTAAGAGGGTATTTTCGGATACAATCACTGAATTTGAGCCGTACGGAGGCAAATTTTAAGGGAGAAACTATTTTTGAGTATTGATTTAGCCTAGTTGAGGTAAGTATCTTGTCTTACTTTGTGCGATGAAACTACCCCTTAGGATTGGGATTGATTATACTATTTGAATTATGTAAAAACCATGTACATAAAGTGACGAGTATGTACACTAGATTATATGTGAAAATTGACTGGTTTAGACTCTTAGGTTACTTATAAGAATTTAATTGAAGTTGTTAATAATTGTTCTATCTTTTGTTGTAAAATTTATTCTTACATGCTTTAATTGAAGCTGTTATTACATGTTCTAGTTTCTATTGTCGAGATTTTCCTTATATGCATTTATTACTAGTTGTTGTTACATGCTATTCTTTCCATTGTTGAGTTATTCTCATGCATTTAGTCATAGTTACTATTTCATGCTATCTCTTTTATTGTTAAACTTATGTTATGCATTAGAATTTAAAGATGTCATTTCATGGAAATACCTTAATTGTTGAGTTATTGAAGTTGTGGTTGTTGAAAGCTATTAACACGGTTGTGGTTGAATATTGTTGGTTATTGGAATACCTGTCCTTGTTGAGTTGTTTCTCATTCATTTTGTTGTTATTGAGATCCTTGTACACATTGTGGTCAAGTTGTGGGCTATGTGTTGGGGTAATATTGGTATTGTTGATTTTGGAAATGTTGTGGCATATGGTCACGTGTGTTGCGAGTTAATTTTTGTGTTTTGATATTAATGCGCATGCAACAGTATAAGGGTAGGGGTTGATGCGCATGCAGTGAGATAAGGTGGGATTTATATGCATATTGCTAGTAAGGGAATTACTTGAAGCTACATGGTGAGATAAGGGAGCTAAAGCCCGTGTAGCTATTTTGGAAAATATATTTTTAAAATAAATACAAAGCTCACGCGGCGATATAAGAAAGATTGTAGTTGTGATTTGTGAAATGTAAATATGAGGTGTGGTATATCGGTTGTGATTCTTATTGTTCATTCTATGTTGGAAAGACTTGTTGATTTGAAAGGTCATTGTTTTGTTACCTCATTCCAGTCGCATTTTGATTGTAATTGGTTACTTGTTGTCTTTATCGTATGTACTCTCTTCGTTAACATTTGTGGTTTTTATTTTCATTGTTAGCCTTGTATTGATAAATTGCCTTATTGTTATTTATTGCCTTTATTTCACCGTTGTTAGATTATATTAATATTCTGCACAGGTTTCTATAACTAGTAGGTGTCTTGATATGGCCTCGTCACTATCCTACCCGGGTTAGACTTGATACTTACTGGGTACCATTGTGGTGTACTCATGCTACGGTTCTGCATATGTTTTTGCAGATCTAGGTACTTCTAATCATGTCGTATGTTAGTGAGTTGACCCAGATGTTTCGGAGACTTCAAGGTATACTTGCTTGACGCTCACAGGCCTCAGAGCCCCCTTCTGCTATTGTCTTTTTTACTGTTTATCTTCATATCAAAACAACATTATATTCAGAGTTCACTAGTGTACTTCTTTAGATCTTATGACTTTGTACTACCGATTTTGGGAATTGTACTACTATTATTCAGTTATGGTTATTATGTCATTTATCAGTTTAATTTAATATCTTAGTTGTTATTTCTGCTAGATTTTTCATGTGTGTTAGGCTTACATAGTCTTAGAGACTAGGTATCGTCATGACTACCTAAGGTAGGATTTTGGGGTCGTGACAATATATGTATCAGTTTATTGTGTGTGTTTGGAGGGGGG